AAATTTTATTGAATGAAAGCAAAAAATGTCGGAAATATCATCAAATTTTAGAATAAGTTTAGATTTGTTCGATTTGGTTACCTTTGGCACGAATTATGGCCTTCAAACGGCCAATGAAACCGTCACTCGCTGCCCGAATGTGGTATTTTAGCCCATTCCCGGCGAAGGTGAACGACACTTTGATATTTTTAGTGCTAATCTTGCTTCCCAAAATACTCCAGACACAATCGTCTAACGGATTGGTATCTGGAGATTTTGGTGGCCATTGTGCGCTGGAAATGAAGCGAGGAACCTCATTCTGTAATCATTCTTGGGTGACGCGTGCTGAGTGCTGCGGCCAAAATGTTTGCGTGCCCAACACCCTCCAGAATATTTTCGCGATAATATTCTGCATTTATTCTGATGCCACGGTCGATTAATAGGAGCTGAGAGCGACAATCGGCTGTTATGGTGGCCCACACCATCACCATGGCCGGCGCTTGAGTTCTGGTGGCCAACCGAAGGTGCACATTTTCAGCTGACCTCTTTGGAAGCAAACACGATCATTTTGTTTGTTTATAAACTGCTGGACAACGAATATTTTCTAATCAGAGAAAACCAAATTCGGCAGTTCACCACTTTCGGCCGAGCGAAGCAACTCTTTAGTTCTTTTGAGTGTATTTTCTTTCTGTCGCAGTGTAAGTTCTTGCACTTTTTGGAATTTGAATGATTTACCCCAAGCTCATTTTTCAATATTTGCCGAATGGAACATTGCGAGCCATTTTTCTGCCACTGCGATGCGGGTTGCGATCAAGTCGCTTCTTTACTTTTCAAACCATTTCTGCTGATGTTGCTGTTCTTCTTCTTCAGTCCACTTCATTGACGTCGGGTTACGCTACCAGGATCACGGTAACGAGCGAGACACAAAAGATTTATTTCCATTTAAATGCTGGAGTGCTCTAACGATTGCCACTTGTGGTTTTCCAGCCAAATATAAAGAAATCACACTGTCACGCTTGAATTCCATCGCGAATAACTTTTTTTCTGGAAAATGTTCACCAATATGCTTTTGTATGCTTGTAAACAATATAATGAGCTGTCACTGGAATAATTTTAACAGCTGTCGGACGAGTGGCTTAGAAATGACAGCGGTCTGATATTGTTTGCAGTTTTTTCATCTACAGGGTGAGATGACGGTACAATTCTAACTAGAAACTTGTGTTTCACTCAAGTGAAAAATGTGGACTGGACAATAAAAATATCCATATTTTGCGGTATGGGGCCTCATTTCGTCGAGTCATTATTTATAATAAAAATTGTGCCACTTGTATGAGCCAGATCTGTGAATTTAAATGCTTTACAAAAATATGTATCAATGATCAAAAATACGGGCCGGGAATGCGTACCCGGCCAGTTAGTCGTATATAAGGAATAAACTAAATTCAAGGGACCGAAAGTTTGTTAATAATTTGTTAATTAACTATATTGTACTGCCTTCGCGGTCCTAATCCCTGCTATTAGGGACATTAAGAGCTTATACGGTCATTTCGCTTTCGCTTATGCTTCGATGTTTTATTTCATTCCTGAATTGTGAATTTTCATTCACAAAATCATATCTGTATTAATAAACTAGCCAGGAAATGGTATACAGTTTTAAACATCTCTAAAAAAGTAATTAAATTGTTTATTACATTTTAATATACCGTAATCGGCGCCGCCACCTTGGAATGGGGTATGGAAGATATACTACGTTAGCAATGCCGTTTGTAACATCCCGAACCCCTTTGTTTCATTCGTATCTGTGATGTAATATTTGAACATCGAATTGCGGGATTTTAAATGTTCGTATGTTTCACTATCAATGAGTAGAAAGCCTAGTTGGCTAAGTTCGATATTTAATGTAGTAAAAAATTCATTTCATGTTACCACGATTGATGAGGGTATTTTAAGGTTGGCTTCGCCCAACTCAATACATTTCGCACTTGTTTTGCTTACACCCGAGTCGGTGTCTATTGTTTGTCCCAGAGACTCTTGGAAATGGAATTTCACAGATTTATGTTTGTGTAAAAGTGTACGTGTGTATGTGTAGACGCTTTTAATGAATGACGATTATTAAATACAAAGAAACAAAGCGTTGGAAAGAAAACAACAATTCCAAGAAAACTATAATGGTTCAAAATGTTTTCGGTAAGTATTTGAATAGGCGATGCGAATGAATGCCAATATTGATTGCCAAACTGGCTGGCAGCAAACTTGAAGTTTTACAACGCGAGAGGTAATTTGTAATCGATGTCTTTGTCACAATCTTGTTGGAGAGTTGCCAGAAATGCGCAAAATATGATTTAAGCGAATCAGCTGATGTATCAGCGTTTATTGGAAATATTGCTTTTTTATATTATTAAATTATAGGAGAATACTTTTTTTGGGATAAACGTACAATATTATCAGTGCGGGTCCTTTAGCACGAGTGAGACAACATTCTTAAAAAGTAAAAAAATAACCTTTTTTCAAAGTGGAGGAAATGAAGGGAGGCAACAAATTGATATACTTGTAATTAAAATTAACTAATTTCCTTTGGATCTTTTTACAATAGTAAATAATTGTCAAAATAAAACTCTCCACAGGATAATTATTATAAAATATTTATAATTATACTATATATGTAATTATACTAGAATTATACTAGAAGAATATAGTTAGATGCATCAACGCTTGTGAATATTCATATGTCAACATTTTTTAAGTGCTTTGTCAAAAATAAGTCGATTTTTATATGTTTTCTTATACGACACAAAATCGGATATGTATTTTTCAACAATCTTTACAAATTTCAATAATTTTTCATTCACGATTTTCAGTATCAAAATCGGTTTGACAGTTCATTGTCCCAGCAGCTGTGTCGATGCGGCTACCTGGATTCTTCTACCATGGTATGGGTTGGAAAACGTGAATTTTAGCTACCATTACTAACGAAATATTAAAAAAAAAGTTTTTAATAAGTCATCAAAAATATTATTCATAAATATGACCCAACTACCAAATAAAGGGGAACAGTGGTCCTAAAGTCGGAAGATGTTTAACATTTTCAAGCAAATCTAAGAATTTATTTATCTATTTATTTAATTTGTCTAAGTAATATGGATTACAAATAAAAAAATATTATCGAATATAACAGTTTGTCCTGTACACAATAACGGTATGTGACAATAGGTATATGTTATATATTTTGCTGTTTTGTGGGTCTATACTAAAGCGTGTGTCCATAATGTGTTTTTTTTTTGTCTGAAACTTTTAAAGGCCTAAACCAAATTAAAGTACTAAAATAACTAAATTTAGATGGTATCGTTAAGTGTGGGCTGCATAAAAAATTCTATGAAAGTAATGTTAGTTACTACGCTTATAAGCCAATACTGAATAGTCTCTTAGTAGGAAATACAGAAACAGGAAAAATCGCTTAAAAATATTCCAATTAAATGTGAATAAACAAGTAAAAAAATAGGAAAATCGGCCTTGCCAAACTTTGAATACCCTCCGCCAATTAGAAGAAATTTTTCGCTACAGCCTATTAGAAATTTCAAACTACAAAATTGAAACGTTTCCGGTGAAAAGTGTGAGACAAATCACCAAAATACCGAATATCTAGAAGTACAGTTATATGGGTCTGTAGACATTGACGGTTCTATGCAATGATGTTTCTTACATAATGAGAATATATGCTGCCAAGTTACAGCAAATTTGGGCTAAAATTTATGCTAAAGCAGCCGAAAAACCTTAAATCGGTACAGTACAAGATGTTCTATACATTTATACATACATAAGATTTGGATAAAGCTTTCAAATGCATGTCCCTCTGCTTTGATGTAAATGTAACGTCAATCATGCTAAAGCCGGCTAAGTTAGGACAAAATCACTCGACGTTATATATAGCATTGATATTTGGTGAAGAGGTCATATAGCTCTCTATTACAGAGGGTAATGCTTTTCATAACGAAACTGAAAGTATTCAATGTTTTCTGATCGATTTCATCACTACAAAAGAAATAACCACTTGGCTTTTTCAGATTTTTGATATGACTATTTTTGTGAAAAGCAATTTCTCTAGGTATCGAGTGTTCTCAAATCACGAATTTTATACTCACCTCTTGCCTTTCCCAAAATCTCCATAACAAATATTGCAAGCTACCAGCACGTTTTTAACCAAGAAGTCATTGAGTTCTGTAAGTTAATTCATAGCGAGTTATATTAAGCCAATGGGATAATACTCCAGAGTTATACAATCAATTGATTGGGTCTTTCACAATAACAAAACAAATGGAAATCGATTAGGATATGGCTCCCATATGTTAGTTCAATCCAATTTATAATTTAAACCACTTTATCGCATTTGCTCTTTCTTTACTGGTTACTTGGATTAAAAATAGAAATGCATTTATTAAACAATGATCCTACGTTACTACAATAAATTTCTAAATAATAGGAGTACTTATTAGCGAGGGTATATGTATATATTTATAGACCCTTATACTTAAGATACACAGATACAGATTATATATAGAAGACGAAGACAAAGATGGTATTAAGATCGATTGGCTTTCTCAAATTGTGTGGCATAAGTCGTTTAAACGATAAACGTATATTCCAGTTTAAGAAAAAAAAAAACATCGGACGACTTGCACTTGCTTCTGAAGGTCTCTTAAATGAAGATACATCTTTATTCATACAAAGATACATAGTTCATTCAAATTATTTTCATTTGAAAACTAGGGAACTATGAATTGGTCGGTATCAGTAACTTTCAAATACATATCTTCTCATCAAAACATTGTTAAGATCATTTCACGCTCACAATCGTTTCTAGACCGGAGAGCAATGCAACTCTTTGGAAAACACACATACATTGCTGTGTCGATCGCACTCACGGAAACAAAGCACAGATCGTGTGTGTGCGGAGATCTCTTTGTGTAGCGGTTCATTTCGGAAAACGGCCGTTTCCCCGGAGAGTATCTCTTTTGAAACACACAATTACCGTTGAGAGTTTAGTTGGTCGGAAACTCTTGAACGTGTCGTTCGTAGACGGGTTACGGAAACCTGTACAATACCTCGTTTCAGCGTACCTCAATACCCAAAACAAATACAAATCAACCAACAACAAAATAACAAAAAAAAAGAAAATCAAACAACCCACAAACTCATCTGTTGAGATGACGTGAAAGAGGAATTCAAATGAAATGGAATGAAAACATGAATAATTAATTTATTGAAAGTGCTAATTACAAAATAAATAATTTAAACATTATTGAGTGCAGAAATTGAAATCGTGTGCGACATCGTTTGCATAGCCACAGGCACGACGACGAAGCGTATCAACAGCAACAACAACAACCACCAGAGTCAAGTGCAAAAGCAAAGCTTTGCTTTGTTAAAGTGAGTTTTATAATACGAAAGCTTTGAGCTTCATCAGTATTTGTGTTTCTGTGTTGGTGTAAATAAACAACAGTCCAAAAGAAAACGAAAGAGGAGCAGTTGAAGAAAACGAAAATAATAAAGTATTTTTAAATTTATGTGAATAAATAATAGTAGAATAATATTTAATGAAAAAAGAAAAAAAATCATTTATGCAAATATTCTTCGCAAAAAATATTGTTTATCCGCACACGCACCCATACATACGTATGTACATGCAGAGAGGAATATCTAATGAAATAAGCAAATAAGCGTTCATCAAGGTGGATTAATCACGGCGAGGTTTGTATGTGTACATCCTCAATACATACGCAGATATCGATTTGGCCATTAAAGCGAGTGCGCTATTTTGTTTGTTTGTTTGGACATTGTTATTGGGGGCCCCAAATTTAACACGAGCATGGTTTTACAATAAAAACAAGTACTACTCTTCGACGGAGGAGTTCTTCGTTCGTGTGTACTCTATATTGAAAATTCTAATTTTCGAAACACCTTTTTATGGAGCTGGAGAAAACCCCTAGTGGCGATTGGAGTTATCTTGCGTAGTTAACGATAATATGTGATGTGAAACTTTTAGCTATATGGATCTTTAAGAACTGTTCCTAGAAATGTAGATTCCACAGAGATGTACTTTTTCGTAGTGTCTTTTCGTCTAAAATTTCGGAAGATTTGGGGTTAACGTACCAAAACCGAAGAAAACAAAATTTGATTTTTGAAAGACTTTTAGCTATTTTGCCAGCCACGAGAAAGTTCCTATATTCTAAAAATTTTGATTTCGAAAATTTTCGGAAAAATTTTAATGTGTGTTGTTAACGAACCAATACTTGGCTATTTCGCAGGATATGAGCCTGACAAAATGATCCCTTTTGGTACCAAGCTCTCTAATCTTTGGTGGGATCATAAACGGGATAGTGCGAATGATGAGAGGAAACGCTAGGACACGTGTCATTCATTTTTGGACCATCAGTGACGCTATGGTGTCAGAATATAGTTAATTATACCTTACAACACTATGTGTTGGGGGTATTATAAGTTTGGTTGGGCCAAAAATTATGTAACACCTCGGAATATTGGTTTCCCACATGGGAAAGTACATATGGATCTTTCTACCTCGAAGCCTTCCAATTTGGATGATCATCGGGTAATATTTGGTGGGTAAAATAGACCATAACATTTGTGTTAAATAAAAGTCAACATTTCCATCAAACCGCGAATATTTTTCATCCCGGCGAAATCACAAATAGACCAGAAGGTAAATTCTGACTGTTACGTAAATGCCGAGAGTAAATATATTGGATATATATAGCGAACTGTATACAAAAGGGAAGGGATATTGGCTAAAATGCTTATTTCTCAAGAATGGCTAGACCGATTTTGAAAATTTTGTCAATTAAGAATGCCTTCTTGGCAAAAAGAATAAAATCTAAAAAAAATCGCATAAAAAGATGTCAATAACGATGTTAATAAAGACTTTGTAGTATTTTGTGATATTTTTTTCATATTTTTATCGCATGCGATTTTTTCAACTTAACTTAACTTAACACTTTGTAATATTTTTTCACCTTAAAATACAGATTGGGGTTCTTAAATACATATTACAATTATCGTCCGATCCTCATAAGAGTAGGGTTAGGCTCAAAAGTACTAGGCCTATTGTTCTTAAAGACGTCCGCAATATATAATAATGGACAAAAACCTAAAAATGTTCTTGATTTTGCAGCCGTTATAAAGGACACAAATACAAAGTAGAGGATACGAAAATAAAATAAGTAAATTTTCATTCTACCGAAACGCTGAAAAAACTCACAGGCGGAATCCAAAATACACAAAAGGCGAACTTCTGGCTATGTCATACTGATTTCGTTGACGGATATAGCCAAATATCGTAGACAAGCAAATCATATAGATGAGCTAAAATTTGGAGATACAGAGAGGACTCTTGCTTTTGAAGATGATCGCAAAAGATTTGGGGGTTCAAATGAACCAATAACAGAAAAATTTTCTTGATCACAAAATTGAGACCAATCGACACGGAATTTTGCATGAGAAGAGAGTTAAGAACAGGGAAGAAGTCCAGCATTTTGGATGACCATTGGATTATATTTAGCTACAAAATGGACCACAACAACTAACAGCACGACCGGGTGCTGAATATTGGGCAAATGTCCCTGGTCAAAAAGCTAAGGCAAATAACTGGGCAGTGCTCTATGACATCATTTCAAAAGTGAAATCTTCCAAAATGGATTTGGTCATAAGGAGGCTTTTAACATATGGTAGTGTTGTTGGGTATCACATGGTCGGCCTTTGCTTACTTGTTAAATAATACAAATGCTTTAAGCTTCATCATAACTAGAAAAGTTACACACAGTGTAAGACTCTATTCACATGTTTAAAATGGCTAGAAAAAGTACCTATGCAGGTGCAATTCCATTCCTGACCGAGGGCTATGCACAATGACAAAATATGACTTTTCCTCATAAAAATTGAATAAATGAGAACCAGGTCGATTTTATGATGCCCTACACCACTATGCATATTTAGTACAGCCACCTGTAACAAATAAACGTTTATTTTGGAACCAACATGTGGAAGCTACATTTTATTTTTAATGCATTTGACGGACCTGTATGTAAATGACCTCTTGTGCATAATATCACTGCTGCATGTTATAACTTGGAAAATATTTAAATTAAAAACGGCTGAAGCATATATATCGGAGATATTGCCATATCTCTGCCGATTTTTCACCAATGTGCCAAAATCCATCGTATTTTGTTATATATATTACATATTTGGGGCACAATGAAGTTAAGTGCACAAAAAATGTAGAATCTCATAAACATATATATGGAACTGTATCCAAATCTGAAGCATATATCCAAAATTTGACAGATGAATTTCTGAGCTGCATCAGTTATCTTGAATCGAAAATCGTCATTATGGAGCACAAATTACGACTTTGAGGTGACTTAAGTATCAAATGGGATGGAATATATATATGGGAGCTAAAGCTATATCTCAACCGATTTTTACCAAATTTGACATACTTGACATACTAGGATAATTTTAGTTGTTTGTGCCAACATTCATTCCAATATAAACCGATATCTTCAAAATTTGGTAAGGTATATATGTGTGAGATATATCGAAATCTGATATGATTATCACTAATAACAACAAGGTTCGTCCTTGGGCGTACTTTGCTTACAAAAATAGATGGACGGACACGCAAAGGTCAATTCAGAATATGATTCTATGATGATAATCAAAAGGAATTACAAAAAAATGCAAAGGGACATAATCCCATGTACCACATTGTGGTATTGGGTATAAGAATTAAGCACTCCGGGAAGACTCTTGACTAAGTCGGTGATACTATTTGAGAAACTTTCTTCTATCTGTTTCTAATACAAATAACAACATTTCAGTTGACGATCTGACCTTCAAAATGCGAATAATTGTGGAAGTTTGTTTTATTGGTATGCATTGTGAAACCAGAATGTGTTCTACCCATCCAGTGAGAACCCAATTTGCAATATTACAGACAACAATATTCCTATATAGAAAGGTTTCCTTCTGAGAGGAGAAATTGGGTCTAATCAAAATTACTGCTGGAGCCTTCAAAATACCAAAACCCAAGAAGTCTTGTTTATAGGGTGTTATAGCCAATCATGCCAAATTTCAGAGCTTTACTTAAAGTAATTTAGATAAATACTATATACATTATTTATGAAGTTTCCGACGAGTAGGCCCATTGTATGGCGTGACTGTTTAAATTCAAATATTATGAACTGAGAGTGTATAACTTAGAGATTATTTGAGGACTAGATGGTCAAAGAGCGAAAATTTTAAAAAATATATTTCCGAGTACTCTCGAGGACAAAAGTTAATACTTTGTATAAATATTTTTAGACCCTCCACCATAGTATGGAGGATATATTAAGTTTGCCATTCCATTTGTAACACCTCGAAATATACATTTTAGACCCAACAAAGTATATATATTCCTGATCAGTAATCAGTCCGTCTTTCCGTCTGTGGAAATCACTCTAGCTTTCGAACGAAATGAAGTAGATTGATAACATTTTACTCAAAGGTATATTATGTTTGCAGGACTTTTGGTATTGAAAATGGGCCATGTAGGTCTATATATTCGTATAGTCCCCATATAACGGTACCTCCCGATATTTTGTACTTTGATTATTTTAGCGACATTGGTTTCAAACTTGTTATTTGAAGTTCGCAATTGATACTACAATCTAGGACAGAAAATTGTCTGTACAGGTCCAAGTCTTCGTGTAGCCCCCATATTTGGTGTTTGAAGTTCGTAATGGATACTACATCCTATGAGAGAAAATGGTCTGTGCAGGTCTACGTTTTGGCAAAGACCCCTCCTTATATTCGGTGTTTTGGTGATTTTAGCTATATAATTCACGAAATTGTTGCTTCAAGTTTCGCATTTGAATATTGTAATGGCTTATGACAAATGTTGCCTATACAGGTCCACGTCATCGTATGGATCCTAATATAATGGCTACATTCGGCACATTTTTACATTTTTAAGTATTTTGCCAAACTCGTTCCAAATGGTGGAGGTATCGGCCGAACTTACATCTTTTTTACTTGTTAAAAACTATAAGTATATTTTTAGGAATATCTTTTAGGATTTTAATGTGGACAATCGCCAAATGCAGGGTGGTTTAATCTTGCATATATTAAATTACAGAAAACTCTGTTGTAAAATCTAACTTACAAAACACTTAAATGGGGAGATACCATTATATAAGGCTATAGCCAAACGCAGACAGAATAGCAAAATATTCGCGATTGTTACATTCTGGGCTTGTTTGTTTTGTATGTAGCTTCATTCCTCTTAAGTCACAATTGCAAGATGAATGACATTTTAATCCTAAGTCTTGTTACTCTCTGGGCTTGCCGGAAGATACCCATATATTTGAAAG